CCGATTTTGTTTTGTGGGGGGTGCACGAGCCCCGCGCGAACGGGCCACTCTTGGGCTGGCCGGCAAGACTTCCAGGCCGCTCCGGGAGCCCTGCGGCTCCTACAGCGGGCGGGGGGCTGGCTTCACGCTGTGCCCTGCCCCTGCGGCCCGCCAGACGGTGCGGGGGGCGCGGATCCTGCCCCCGGCCCCCGCCGCCCTTCCACCCTCGCGCCCCGAGCGGCCCCCGCTGGCCATCTTCGGCCTCGTGCCGGCTTCGGTGGCGACCAGCTGCACCGTGGCAGATTTGGGGGAACTGTCGAGTCGGCGCAGAACTGGCCCGTCTGACGAGGTCGGGAAGCCGAACCTCGCTGGGCCGTGTATGGGGCCCTCTTTTGTCGCCCGGCGGTGCCGTATTCGAAGTCTCTTGGGCCCCTGGGTCGTGTCGGTGCAATTTGAGGGCCGTCTCGGAGGCCTCTTAGAGCGTTTTCTGCCGCAGCTGGCAGAGGGGGGTTCAACCCTCACAAGAACGTGGGGGTCCCTCCAGACCCCGCGTAAAATTATTCGAGGGGGGGTCTGACTCCACCCCCCCATCGAAAACCCCTGGGCCCCTGCCCCCCAGCAACGACGACGACGACGAGGACGACGACGACAACGACGACGATGAAGTCGCCGCCGCTCGCAAACGTTGCGGACGACGACGATGATGACGACGACGACGACGATGACGACGACGAAGATCATTCGGGGGCTCCCGAACCCCCCCGCAACGAAGACCACGACGACGACGACGATTACGTTGCCGCCGCCAACAGACGACGCGGACGACGACGACGACGATGACGGACGACCCACCACGACCACGACGACCGCGACGACGGCGACGATGACGACGACGCCGACGCCGACGCAGACGCCGACGACGCTGACGACGACGACGACGACGACGACGACGACGATGACGACGCCGACGCCAACGACGGTGACGACGACGCTGACGACGCCAACGACGACGACGACGACGACGACGACGACGAAGACGAAGACTCGACGATGACGACGACGACGACGACGACGACGACGACGACGATGCCGACGCCGACGACGCTGACGACGACCACGACGCCGACGACGGTGACGGCGACGACGACGACGCTAACGACGACGACGACGACGACGACGACGACGACGACCGCGACGATGACGCTAAACGCCGACGACGGCGCTAACGACGACGACGACGACGACGACGACGACGACGACGACGACGGTGACGACGACGACGACGACGACGACGACGACGACGACGACGACGGACGACGACGGTGACTGCGACGACGACGACGACGACGAAGACTCGACGATGACGACGACGATGCCGACGCCGACGCCACGACGACGATGAAGCCGACGACGACGCCGACGACGACTACGACGAGTAGAGTAGACTTGCGTAGAGAAGTTTACAGGCAGTCGAGTAGAATAGCGTAGAGTCGAACGGAATAGGGTGTGATATGGTAGGGTATAGTAGAGTAGGGTAGCATAGAGTAGAGTAGGGTGATGTAGGTCAGAGTAGAGCAGAGTAGAGTAGAGTAGAGAAAAGTATATGAGTAGAGTAGAGCAGAAATAGAGTGGAGTAGAGTAGGTTAGTGCTCAGTAGGAGGAGAACAGAGTAGAGTAAAGTAGAGTAGAGTAGGATCGAAGTGTGTAAAAATAAAACAAAGCAGAGCAGCGTAGAGCAGCATCAAGGTAGAGTAGAGTAGAGTTGAGTAGAGTAGAGTAGAGTGGAGTCGAATGGATGTCAGTGCACAGTAGAGTAGAGTGAGTAGGGTAGAGTTGAGTAGAATTGAGGAAAGGATAGTAGAGAAGCGTAGATGGGTGAAGAGTACATTAGGGCCCGAGTAGGGTACTGAGAGAGCTGGACCGAGCCTTAGTTTCATTCCATCAGAGCCAGCGCATGGCGCGGGCGCCAGCAACAGGGGCGCCGCCGCCGTCGCCGCTGACGTTGTGCCGTCGTCGGCGTCGTCGACGCCCTAGCACTTTTGCACCCCTTCCCATTTGCCTCACCCGATAGAGCCCGAGCACGAGCAAGAACCCGAAACCTTCGGAGCCCTCGACGAGGACATCGAGGATGAAGCAGTTAATTTTCTGTTTGGGTGAGCCGTTTCGTGGGGCACGCCTCAGCCTTGCCTCCAGCGGTAAGGTGAGCACCGTGCTTGCACGCCCCCGTGCACTAAGGAAATTTATCCTGGTGGCGGGCTCACAGTGCTTCATTGTAAAAGGCCAGGGACCCCGAACTGCGTTCAGTGTGCACTTGCCGCCCTAGTCGCTGCAGCCCCACACGCCGATGAAAAAGTTGCCGCGGGAGGGGGCCTCTGGAGCTCCCAAATCAGTTCCCGGGCGGGGGGGGGGGGGCGAATAATTTGGATGTTCGCAGGGGGGGGAGGAGGGGTCCAGATGCCCCCTGGGGTGGGTTGGGAGGGGAGAGTTTCGGAGGGGGGGGGCCCTGGCTTGGGACTCCCCCCCCGTTGGACTCTTTTTTGGGGGGGGCCCTGGTTTCTGACCCCCCCCCTGATAAATTTGGCTCCGGCTGGCGACGGTGGATCGCGCTCCCTCGGCATCGTGGAGCCCTCTTCGGCCATACGAGGGCCCCGGGGGCCTCCTGGAGTCCTATTGGAGCCGTAGTGGGTTGCGAAAGGCTCGGAAAGGCGAAAGCGCCCAAAGCCTCCAAACTATTCGAAGCACATCTATGATGTTAGCTTCGCGTGGGCCCTGTTGGAACCCACATCGCATTTGCTCCCAACTCGTCAAACCGAAGCTCTGATCAGCCCGAGCAGCCCCCCAAAAAATGAAGACGTGGAGACGTTTGGGATGGCCTTGGAACCATATTGGAACTGTTTGGGGGGCATCTGGGGCCTTCCTGGGGGTTCCCCGGGGGCCTTTTGGGAGGTTCGCGGGCCTTCCCGGGGCGAACCTGGAGACCGGAGGCCAAGCGAAAGGGAGGCATTCGACGAACGCACACCACTCCAGGGCCAATTTCGATCCGATCGATCCGATTCGAAGTCGCTGCTGGCTGGCCCGATCCGATTCGGCTCGATCCCGAGTTTCGAAAAAGCGCGTTCTGTGGACAGACGTTGGGAAGGGGGGCGAGTTCGGACCGCCCTCCCCCCTTTGAGATGCAAGGGGGGGAAGGGGGTTCGATCTCGAGGGGGGCTTCAAGGGGTGGGGGTCGACCCAACAGAGGGGCCCCTGAATTGCAGGGAGGGTTCGAGCCAGGAGGGGGGGTGCTTCTCTCCGTAGTGGCAACCGACGATGGCGAGCGCCTGCGCTTGCGCCGGCAACGACGACGACGATGGAGCCCTGGTAGGATGCTATTAAGGTTGGATCGAGCCCCAATTAAGGTTCTGTTAGAGCTGGATCGAGCCCTAGTAGGATTCGAATGGAGCTGGATCTATCGAATACGATTTGAGACGGATCGATCCTTAGTAGAATTTAAGTAGAGTTGGATCCAGTTACAGTCGGATTCCACTAGAGTTGGATCGATCCCGATTTGGATGCTGTTACAGGTGGATCCAGCTACATCCGGGTTCTCTCAGAACTGGATCGAGCCCTCATAAGATTCAGTTAGAGCTGGATCCAGCTGATTACAGTACGATTCTTGTTGAGTTGGACCGAGCCCGACTAGGATGATACAATAATTAGATCGATCTGTAGTAGGATCCGACTAGAGCTTGATCACTTGATCGAGCACTTCTAGGATTCTGTTAAGAGAAGGACCCGGGGGAGGCCCGTTCGAACGCCCCCCCCTTGGACGGAAAAGGCTGAGTTCGACCCCCCACACCCTACTGGAGGGGGGCGGGGGGCTGTTAGAGAGGGCGTCCGGGGGCGTTTGAAATGTTTCAGGGCCCCCCCCCACTGGTTCCGACGTTTCCAATCCACGAAGCGCGATGTCTCCGACATCCCCGCGATCCGATGCGGCCTGATGCTTGGGTGGCGCTGCTGTGCATCCCGACGCGGCCGATCCGAGCCGATCTCGATTAGGTGCCGATGCAGTGCGACACACGTCGATCCGATCCGATACAATTCCTCCTCCTCCTCCTCCTCCTCCTCCTCCTCCTCCTGCTCCTCCTCCTCCTCCTGCTCCTCTTCCTCCTCCGCCTCCTCCGCCTCCTCCTCCTCCTCCTCCTCCTCCTCCCCCTCCCCTCCTCCCCCTCCCCCTCCTCCCCCTCCTCTTACCCCTTGGAGCCTGAAATGTGCCTCTCGGGGTGTTCTTCGGATCTTTCTTCAGGTGCCCAGGCCCTCTCGGAGCCCTCCCGGGCTCCCCTTCGGGCTCGATCGGGCAACCCAGGGGCGATCCCTTCGGGTTCGATCAGACAATCAGGGCCGACCCTGGACTTAGGTCGGGCATGTCACCCTACAGGCGGATTTTGGAGGAGAAATAAAGCATACCCAAAAATATTCAAAAATAGCAAAGTATCAAAAAGTCGTCCCCACATTATTATTTACTATGTTTAATGACTCCTTCTGTAGAGAGGCATGCCCGACTTAACCCTAGACTTCAAAAGGTCAATCGAAATAGAAAGGGTGGACTGCCCAAAGCACGTATGGACGTTACGTGTTGGAGTGAGTTTGAACTATGGGGTGCATTCTTGGGAGGCTCCCTGGTCACCTTGCGCCGTATTGGGACCGTGTTGCTGCCTCCTGGATGCACGGTTGCACTAGTATTGGACCTAGCTGTGCCGTCTTGCAGGCCATCTTGGGTAATCTAGATCCCCGGGGAGGAGAGAAAAGGAAATGAGCTAACCCCTCCCCGAGGATGGAGAACGGGTTATCCGAGAAAGGCTGTTCCGCAAAACCGTTCACGCTCACAGTGCAGGTGGGATGTCCCAGGTGTCCTGGACTGCCCACGACGAACCACCGATTCCAATCGCGTAGAGGAGAAGAGAGAGAGGAGGGTGCGAAGTCAGGGGGAGAGGTGGTTGGAACAGGCAGGGGGGGCAGGGGCTCTCCACGTGGCCCGTCGTAGCCTTTTCAGGTATCATGCCGGGTTTCTGGGCCCGACAGGGCGCCCACGTTTGCTGGGCCGCGCGATGAAGCGTCCCGCCGAGGAGCAGATTAGCAAGGAGTGCCCAGAAGGCGGTGCCTGCCACGAGGAGAGCGCGTCGGGAGCTGCGAAGCCTGTTTCTACAGTGATGTATGCAGCGGGGCCTACTCATGCGAGTTCGCATGTGCATGATTATTTTGGCTTACGCCACATCCGCCGACCCCGTGGAGCGATCTGGGGGCAGCTCGGGCCACCGTGCACGTGGATCACGCCGACGGGGGGAATAGATTGAAATCGCACGCTTTTCTTGAAACTCTTTGGATTTTCGCTTTGGGGGGCTCTCTGGGAGATCCCAGGGAGTTGGTGGATTGCGGGACGTGGTCTTCCCTCCTCATTTTGTGGTGGCGACGAGAGCTTCAGAGGCTTCAGAAAGGTTGTGATAGGAGAGATGGGTGGGAGAAGTAGCAGAAGGGAGGGAGGGGGAGGGAAGATGAAGGAGAGAGGGGAGGCTGAGGTCGAGGAGAGAGAGTGGAGAGGAGGAGGAGGGAGGAGGAGGAGAGGAGGAGATGAGGAGGGGAGGGGGAGGGGGAGGGGGAGGGGGAGGGGGAGGGAGGGAGGAGGAGAAGGAGGAGGAGCAGGAGGAGGAGGAGGAGCGGGGGCGACTTGCAGGAACCATTCCCGATAGCACGCGGCGTCCTACCACGCTCAACATGACAAGAGGCGCCGTGGCGGAGTTGTTGACGCGCGCCATCGTCGGTCCGACGTCGACGCCGCCCACAGAGCAGACATCAAGGGCCGTGAAAGGCTTTCCGGGGGCCGTTTGGGCGCCTTCTAGGCGCTCTTTGGGGTTTCTTGGGGTCTTTCCGCTCCCTCCTGGTCGTCAAAGACGCATTTTGGGCCGTCGTGGGCTGTCTTGGGCCCCTCTGGGGCTGTCTTGGGGCCATCTTGGGCTGTCTTGGGCAGTTCATGGAGTCCTCTGTGGCTGTCTAGGAGGCCTCGTAGGCCGTCTGGGGCGCTTTGGGGGGCCGCTTAGGACGATCTAGGAGGCGTCGGAGGCCGTCTTGGACGCGTTGAAAATTCAGAAACCACATGCGAGAGACTTCAGATTCCGTCTTGGACGTTACGAAATCGCACAAGGCGAACATGCAGAAAAAGACCGTTTCGCAGAAAAAGACCGTTTCCCGAAGGGAATGGGACGATTTTTAGATGTTTCGGTCCTTTGGGGGGATCTTCTCGGAGCCTTGGGGAGAGTTTTGTAAGCTTCTGGGGCTGTCTTGAGGCCATTTGGGGTTGTCTTGGTGCCATACGGGGCCACGTGGAGGCCATGTTTGGGTGTCTTGGAGCCTCTGGCGCTCATTTCAAAGCCACCTGGGGCCGTCTGTAAGCAGTTCTGGGAGGGATGGGGCCCCCGGCCCTTTTAACGGGACCGCCCCCCTTTCAAACTGGCCGGACCGGGCTCCTGGGGGGGGAGTTTGAGGGGGTGGGATACACGCCGAGTTAAACCCCAAAGCGTCGGCAGATTTCTTTGTGTGACTGGTCATGCAAATGTGTATGTACGTGTGCATGTATGGATTGATGGATGTGTGTATATATATATATGTATACATACATACATACATACATACATACATACACGTAGCCCCCCGCAGTTGCGGATAAGAGTGAGGGGGTGGCGGGAACGTCGGCTGTCTGCGAGGCTCTGAAGATGCCCGCAGCAGGCGCCCAGTTTTTGCAAGTTACACAACGCGCCCGCCGCAGGCGCCGATTTTCGTTAACAGCAATGTGGGGCGGACGCGGGCCAGGTCGCGGGTGGGTCTTGAATAGGCCGCAGGACGGTCGCCGGCTGGTCGAGGGGTGGGTCGCGGGTGGGTCGCGGCGTGGGTCGCGGCGTGGGTCGCGGGTCGGTCGCGGCGTGGGTCTCGGCGTGGCGGGTGTGTCGCGGCGTCGATCGCAGGTGGGTCGCGGGCCAGGTCGCGGGTGGGACGACGACAACAAACAGCAAACAGCTAAAATAATAATAAGAAGAAGAACAACAACGACAACAACAGCAACAATCCGCACCGCGGAATTTCACTTCAGCCAGCGCCCAGAAACAGTGTATGACCGTTCGGCCTTTCATTCTGACATCTTTGTATACACATAAATATACGTAAAGTACAACTTCATGATGAATGTATTTATTTATATATATATATATATATATATATATATATATATGTACATACCTGTCTATGTGTATACACAAATAGTTGGGCATGCATCGATCATATATGTTTATGTTTATACATATGTCTGAACCCAGCACGCCACAGTGCCTGGGTCAGGGACCAGACTCCTCATGGATGCCTCTTGTGGTCTCTTGGGATGCCTCTTGGAGGTTTCTTGGAGGCCTCTTTGGGCCTTATAGGCGCCTCTGAGGGGTCTCTTGGGAGTTTCTTGGGGGCCTCATTTGGGTCTCTTGGGGCCTTTGGGGGATCTCTCGATGGACTCACGTTGGAGGTTTGGGGCTCCATTTTCGGGGGAAGGGCTCCCGAGGCTCGTTCGTGGTGCTACCCTCCGAGGCCGAAAATCTTGACAACATAAATGTGCTCAAATAAGTACGGCGTTGGGGAAGTTTGCACGGGATGCCACAAGAGATTCGGCAGTTGGGGCTCCGGGCTTTGTAAAAGCACGTTCTCCCAACAGCGCTTGCACTTAGGACTTTTGGGAAAAGGAACTGGGCCTGACGGCCAGTCTGGCGATCATGCCGCCGCCATCGCCGCCCCGTTGCCGCCTCGTCGCCGCCCGTCGTCTGGGCCTGACGGCCAGTCTGGTGGATATGTCGCCGCCGTCGCAGCCCCGTGCCCGCCTCGTCGCCGTTCGTCGCCGCAAAGAGTGCACAACATAGACTGCACCGAATAGATTGCACCATGCAGGTTGCATCACATAGATTGCTCAGCATACATTGCACCACACATATGACGCCACATCTATTAACCCACGTAGAATGTACAACCTACATTGCACAACATGAAAGTATATATATGTATATATCTTTATATTGCAGCGCATATACTGCACAGCATATACAGCTCAACGTAGATTGCCCCGCATAACTTGCACCACATAGCTAATACAGCATAAAATGCAAAACAGTGGTTGCACCACATAGACAGCACCACATATATTGCACAGCAGATCGCAGCACATATATGCTACCACATAAATCGCACCACACACGTCGCACCACATAGATTGCACCACATACATTACAAAACACATGTTGCACCAAATAGTTTGCACCACGCCGATTGCACCACAAAGATTGCGCACTTCAGATAGTGCACAACATCGATTGCGCCACATAGAGTGCACAGCATAGGATGCACCATGTAGATCGCACTCTATATATTGCACAGCATAGAATTCACAGCTGAAAATGCACCACGTAGATTGCACCGCATAGATTGCTCCACATAGATCGCGCCACAGACCTTGCACAGTACGTACATACATACATACATACATACATATACATATACATATATATGTGCTGCATAGCATAGACTTCACAGCATGGAATGCACCACGTAGGTTGCACCGCATACATTGGTTCACATAGATTGCACCACACATATTGCTAGAAGCGCATTGTTCGGGGTGTACGCTGGCGAGCATGTATTTCGACTGGTGTGTATGTATACACATGACAATACATACACATTTCATGCAACACAAGCGATTCAAAAATGATTGAGACCTGTTCATTGCCTGTCTGCGGAAGTGTGGTGTTTGTATGCATGGGTACATTTAGGAATGCACATACACATATGTAAACATATCTGTATACATGTATGTACACGTGTGTATATATGTATATATACGTATGTATGAATATGGTTGGACACAGGGTATATCTAAACATGTGTGTAAATAAATGTATGCGCATGTATCCATGTGTGCTTGCTGCCGTGTGTACGTGTATACATATGCGTGTGCAGGTAATCGTGCGCGTGAGTGTATTCTTGTACGCGTGTGAGAACTGGCGTTTGATCGTTGAGTGGTTGCACCAGGCCTGTCCCTTTGGGTACAACAGTCATTGTATGTATTTGGCTAATGTCATATGGACGAAGGATCACGATTAATTCACCAGGCTGGCTTGACGCATGTTTCGAGGCCCGGGAAAGAGGAGATACTAAGGGTGAGTCGAGTGGCAAGTTGTTTCTCTTATTTGATGCCCACTAACGTTTTTAAAAGGTAGGCTTTCGCAGCCGAGAGCCCCTATGGAGCTAGTAGGCCTGTCTTGATTGTAGCTGTGCCCCAGGCAGCCAGCTGCCTCTGAAGTCCTGTGCGCTGTTCTCTGGAAGCGGCCGCCGTGCTTGGAGTTTCGGGCTAGCGGCTAACCACTGGTTGTCCGCAGTCGCTCGTATGTGCTTCGAGGGTCGTACATCGGGATGCCTACCAGGGCTGGACCTAAACGCTGTTTTGCTGGATTTCGGCGGTGCTTTGTTTTCCGTTTTGGCAGGGAGGTATGTACAGGCAAACAGGGAGAGCAAACCGAACAACAAAAACGAAGACAGAAAGTCCAGCCCTGATGTCGACTGCTCAAATCCACGTCGTCGCTCTGCTTTGGCTTCGACAACTGAGCCGCCCCCACCGCTGGCCGAGGCCGGCGCGAGGGCCCGAGGTGCCCACGAGAGCGCACGCGCCACTGGCACGTGATCCAAAGGGTCCCTTCGGCATGGGTCGGCGCATTGGCGATCGGCGTCTTTGTGTCGTGCCCGGGCTCCTCCTCCTCCTCCTCCTCCTCCTCCTCCTCCTCCTCCTCCTCCTTATCCTCCTTATCCTTATCCTTATCCTTATCCTGATCCTCCCAATCCTCCTCCTCCTCCTCCTCCTCCTCCTAGCCCCTCCTCCTCCTCAGGCAGGATCTGGCAACGCCGCGATTTCATCTTGGCGCTGCCAGATCCTGCCGGACTGCCCCTGGGCGCATGCTGCCGCCCCGCGACCGGAGGAGCCGCCCGGCGGCCCTGCGGCAGCCGCGGCAGTGCCGGCCGAGGGACCTTCTGGCTCCGCGGCAGATGGCAGCGAGGCGCGCGTACCTGGCGAAGCATGCGCGCCCTGCGAGGCGTCAGCCGCCGAGGTGGGCACGCTCCCCTTTCGCGCGCGCCCTTCAAACCTCCGGGTGGGGAGGGATGCCATAGCTCGCTCCACACGACCAGGCTTGCTGCCCACCCCTGCTACTGCGCACGCCCTGAAGTCTGGCCTGAGGCATAATTTTGGTTTGCGGTGACGCAGAAGGCGACCTCGATTGGATTCATTCTCGGGGGGCACAGCGATGAGTCGCAATCATGATGTTTTATTGAGGTTAGCTCCCCTCTAGTGCGAAACGCTAATGCAGGCACGATTCCGACACGTCGGCTCCAAATGCAGGGAGTAGTGTGAGCACCGTTTCTGTACATATCCTTGCCTTTGCCAGGTGCAGACCATAACCACCTCAGCAGATTTCTGGCGCTGCCAGATAGAGGCGGTGTACCAGCGCAGGAATCCACACAAGCTGCCAGGCGTGCCAGGGTTATTGGACAGGCACAAGGGCAAGGAGGCCCTTGGATTCTTGTTGTGTGCGCTTGTATGTGGTTGATTTAGAGTTGGAGGTCTTCAGCAGCTGTGCGCTGTCGATGGAGTATACAGTAGGATGAAGGGAAGCATGAAACGGAGCGACGTCGCTGGTCGCCATGGTTGTCATCATTGGTATTGTGTTTGGCCACACCGTGTTTGCCGTGTGTTGTGTGTGCGTGTGTTTTGCCATGTTGGCCGTACCCTGTTTGTTTTTATCGCACGCGAGTAAAGATCAATAGTGGTTTCCGCTAGGGAGCATGCTTGAAGCTGTACGTAAGTTATCGTGGACGCTTCGCGTATCCCAGCCAGCCCATCCGGAAATGATCGCCAGGCGAGATGCTTTGATCAGGGAAGCGCAGAAACGTCCAGTCGAACAAAGGGGGGGAGCCGTTAAACCGAATCTCGGGGTCAGCCTGGGCAGACCCAGGGGTCAACTACAAAGGCCGTCGCGCATCTTGCGATATGGGGGGCTCTGAAAGACTTTGGGGGGCCATCTTTGCGCGCCGTTGGAGCCACTTCGTAGGCCTTTGAAGGTCTCTTGAGCCCCTCTTGTAAGTCTTGGGGGCCATTTTGGAGGACATCAATCAAGCAAGGGGGTGGCATTTAGTAGCCTCGCCCCATCGGGATTCGAGAAGTCCTCTGTTCGGGCCTTCTCGGAATGCTCTAATGGCGCACGTGTGCGCTGTTTGGGCCGTCTTGAGGCATTCGTGGGTTCCTCTGTGGGCTCTCTTTGCATTATTGAAGCCATCTGGAGGCCTCAGAAGCCCATCGGAAGCGAAAAGGCGAGAAAGTATTAACAAGTTAAACATCTGAGGTTTTCAAGCGCTTGGGCCTCTTGGGGGCGTCCCTGGATCGTCTCGGAGGCATGCTGGAGGCCAGGTTGAGCCAGTCCGGAGGCCATGTCGGGCAAGTCTTGAGCTATCTTGCCACAGGGCTTCCCAAGGAATTGCTCCGAAGAACCAAACAACTCTCAAGAGCCTCAGGGCTCCAGTGCTTCCCGAACCGTGCACACGAGTGACCCTCGTGCCTGCCCGAGCCCGCGCGCGCGCTGGGCGCCGGTCGCCGCCTCGTCGCCGCCCCGGGCAGCGGCTGTGCACCCCACGGCCTTCGGGCGGTGGGCGCCCGCCGCCGCCCCGTCGCCGCCCCGCGCGCTGGCTGAATCCCCGGGGTTCTCGCGCGGTGGGGAGGAGGGGGAGGAGGAGGAGGAGGAGGAGGAGGAGGAGGGGGAGGAGGAGGAGGAGGAGGAGGAGGAGCAGGAGGAGGAGGAGGAGAGGAGCAGGAGCAGGAGGATGAGGAGGGGGATCAGGAGGAATAGGCGGACGAGGAGGAGGAGGAGGAGCAGGAGGAGGAGGAGGGGGAGGAGGAGGAGGAGGAAGAGGAGGAGGGGGAGGAGGAGGAGGAGCAGGAGGAGGAGGAAGAGGAGGAGGGTCGCTGGCTGGTCGCCTCCTCGGTGCGCCGGCTGGCTGTTCCGGGTGGCCGCCCGGTGGGCACCCGGCGCCGCCTCGGCGCCGCCTCGGTGCGCCGGCCCGCGGGGGGCAGCACGCAGGAGTGCATTCGGCGGCAGAGTTTGCTTCGCAGGCTCTGCGGCACAGGGGCCTGCGTTGCAGATCTTGCGCCCCCCAGGCTGGCCCGCACGGTTTCTCCTCCCGAAGTACTGATAGGATCCACACCCCTCCCGAGCCTGGACTTATCCTCGGCCCTCAGTGGGACACTGCAATTGACAGATGATGTTGCCCCATCGTTCATTTCCCGTATGAGCTCGTACCATCCCAGGAGGGCCGTGTACCACCCTCTCCCTCAATCCTTATCAAACAGTACTATGCGCGCGCACTCGTTTATCTCAGAAGAGCATGCTTCAAGAACCCCTTGCAACAGAACTTTACAAAGTCCACGCGCGCACCTGTCGAAAGCATGCCGAACACATGAGCCGTACAAGCATTTCAGCACGAAAACACATCCGACGCCCATGCTCTGCCCGCGCGCACTTGCTAAAATCATAGCAACTGCAAATGAGTTTAGCAATGACGTCCAGGACTACCATTGCCATCTCACCACGCGGTGCATCTGCTTCGATCTAGCATGCGCGCAGCGCAACACTCCATGTCAAATAGCACCATGCGGGCCATGCGCGCGCGCCGACACGCGCACGTGGCGACATATTTCCAAAGCTAGTGGTGCTCGAAGCAAATGATCATCATCAAGCAATTCAGATGTGTGTTCGTTGCAAGCAAATTTCAATAGCAAATAAATTTAACAACTAAGTGCTTCATCAGCACGTCTGCCAGAGCTCTTGACCTTCTGCGCGCGCACTTCCTCACGATCGCCTTCATCAGCGCCATCGCGTCACCGCCGTCATCGTCATCGCCAATCGCCGCCATTGCCGCCATCAAAAGCCAATCATCTTCATCACCGGCACATGCATGTTCGTCATCGTCGTCACAAGCATCGGCGACGCCAGTGGCCTTGCCGTCATCGTCGCCACCATCGACATCACAATCGCTACTATCATCATCGTTGCCGCCGTTCACGACGTCTTCATGACTCCGCGCCCGCCCGAGTCACCGACCCGCTCTGAAGTACCCGCGCGCCAGCGCGACTTCTGAGACGCGCACCCATCAGCAAGCGCCATCGCGGCCATGCCAAACCAGCTGCTTGATCCGCGCGGGAGTGTGCGCGTACCAGCGCGGCCGCAGAGTTGCGTTTGCCAGTGCCAAGCACATCCGCCATCGTGGCCACATGAGTTGTGCAGAACACGTTGCGGGTGGGAAGGTGGAATCTTTGCGCGAGCATTGGAGCTGGCAACATACGACTTACAACATGAATCGAACCCCATAAATTGCGCCACAGATTTTGCACCACCTAGGTTGCGCCGCATCCCGCCCGAAAGTCGGTTCTTGGAGCTTTCGTGGGACGCTCTTGTTGCGCCCTTTCAGCCGTCTTGGAGCCCGCCTGGGCCTCTTGTTCTCTTGTGTGATTTGGGATCCCCCTTGAGGCCTCGGAAGCCAATCGGAAGAGAGAATGCGAGAAGGCACAAACCGTTGAAAACCGTAAGTTTGTGCAATGATGATGGCTTCTCGGGGGCATCCTCGGGAGGCTCCCTGGCCACTTGGAGCCGTCGTGGGGTGGTCCTCGGGCATCTTGGAAGCAGGCTGCCAGATATCTCATGATGTATTAGGCCGTCCTTGGCTATCCGATGCCATACCAGAGGGCATCATAGGCTCTATGAGGCCACTGTGAAGCCATCGCTGGTTATTTTCCACCATAACTGATCAGGAAGCTCTATATCCACATCCTGGGGAGGGACTTCCCGTGATAGGACAGGGCAACCAGTCTAAACGCCCCTTGGCCACAACACCCGCGTGTCACGCCCCCATCCTGGCTTCGGCAAGGCAAGACAAGGCGAGGCGACTCCCAGGGTCGCCACCAAGAAGGTACGCGATGGTCCAAGACGGTCCAAGATGGTTTCCACTAGGCCTCCAAGCCTCCAGACCGTCACGAGGCGACCCGAGGTGGCTACGGAGCCACACCAGGATGGCCCCGAGAGGCCAAAAACTGCCAACTATGATAAAAACATACAGTTGTCCCATTATTGAATCGCTTCGCTCATTCCGCCGGCCCATTTCGCATGACTGAGCCTCTTGGGGCCGCTGGGGGGCCTCTTCTGCGTCGCTTGGGGGCCTCCTGAGGGCCTCTTGGGGGCTTTTGGGGCCTCTCAGGGGCCTCTTGAGGCCTCCTGGGGGCTTCTTAAGGCCGAGGGCTCGAAGTTTTGTTTTGTGTTCCCCCTTTGGGGCATCGCTTGGGGCCCTGTTGGGCCCCTCTTGGGCCGTCTTGGATGCCTCTGGGGCCGTCTTGGAGCCCTCTTGGGCCATCTTGGGGCCTTCTTGGGAGCTTCTTGGGCCCTCTTGGGGCGATCTTGGGGGCCTCTTGGGCCGTCTTGGGGCGTCGGGAAGCCGAAAAGATGGACACGCCAAAATCTGCCCAAAACCCAAGGAAAAGTAATGAATTTTGCGCTCTCTGGAGGGCCACGGGGGCGGCGCCCAGGAGGAAAACCATCTCTGACCCGAGTCTGCCGGGGATCGCCCGGGGTACTTTTTGTCCGGGGACCCCCAGGGGCCGCCCCGCGCGCGCGAAGTAGAAGTATTATTTAGCAGTTACCGGAGATCTTAGCACGCCTCTGGCCCGTGGGGCCGGCGAATTTGGGCTTTCTTGCGCTTCAGACTCTGATTGGTTCCTAGGTTTTGGGGGAACCCAGGACGGGCTCCCACGAGGACCCCAAAAGCGCCTCAAGAGGGCCACAGGAGAGTCCCAAATCGCAAGCAGGCGCCACGCTGGTCGCAAGGCGGCCCCAGGAGCGCTCCCCAGGCTCCAAGGAGCCCCATGGAGCCCAAACGGACACTCAGAGCTTCCGAGGCGACCCCAAGAAAGCTCCGAACGACTCCCAAGAAGTTCCGCCCCAGCCCTCGGACCTGAGGCTCCGCCCCGCAGGGATTCTCACGTGTGCCTTGCGATTCTCTCCGCTGTTGGCCAGCAGGGCGGCCACGGCACCGCATGCCCGGCCACACTCGGTCTGTAGGCAAGGGGGGGGGGGGGCAGGTGTTGCGGCGTGGGGAAGAGGGAGGGACAAGCCCCTCCCGGAAAGGAAAGAGGGCGTGGGAAAGAAAGGAGGCGCGCTCGACCGCCTAGGCTCAGAGGGCTGGCTGGATTCAGGCAGGTCGCAAATGGAAGGAGACATGTTGCGCCGTTTTGGGCAGCGCACTTCCGAGAAAGTTCCCTTGTCATGCCGAAGAGAGCGACGAGGAGGATCCAGACCATCGATAGGAGGAAGGGCGATTGCTATGTGCCGCGAAAGATCGGTAGCGGTGGATACCTGAAGGAGCATGCGAGGTATCGAGGTAAGGGTGTTAAACTTGGTGAGGAGGGTTCAAGTCTGGAGAGGGCCCAGGCCATCCTCTACGCGAAGGTATGCAAAACGTATGACTTGGACCCGACGAAGTTCTACGCAGATCCCAAGGCTTGGGAGAGTTACGAGAACGACGTACAGGATCATAAGTTGTGTGATTCGCGCCTGCGCTTGAGCGTATTATTGATCTCATGTCGCGCTTCCCACTTCTCTTGTTCGCGTTTCTTGGTGTGCACAGTGCTTCCTTGTCTTATGAGCGTGCGCCGCGTTCTGTGTATGTCTCTCTTTCCTTCCTTCCTCTCATCCTGCTCCGCCTCCTCCTCCTCTGCGCAGACAGCAGCGGCACTTGCCCGTGGGGGTGGTTGCGCCTTTCCGCGCTGATTTGTCCTACGCTCTGCTGTACTCCACCCTCGATGCATACGTGGGCAAAAACAGATCCGTATCCGTGGCCTCGCGGGCCGGGCCCCCGGGCCGCGATCCCGCGGATGCGGGGCGTTCTTTCGCGGACGCCCCGCGCGGAACGTATCCGTGCGACCCCATATCCGCGGGATCGCGCCCCAGAATCCAGACCGCGAGGGCGCGGATATGGCTACGTTCGCCGCTCGTGGTGCATCTGAGGAGGAGGAGGAGGAGGAGGAGGAGGAGGAGGAGGGGGAGGGAGGAGAGAGGAGAGAGGAGGAGAGGGAGAAGGAGAGGGAGAAGGAGAGGGAGGAGGGAGGAGGGAGGAGGAATATCAGGATAAGGATAAGGAGGAGGAGGGAGGAGGGAGGAGGAGGAGGAGGAGGAGGAGGAGGAGGCCTGTGGCCCCGCCCGCTCACGAGATCAGCGGCGGGTTCGCACGGAGCCTCCCGGCCTCCCAGCGCGCCGCGGCCGTGCGAGCCGTGCGAGCCGTGCGTGCCGCTCCCGCTGCGCCGCGCGCGCCCGTGGCGTGCCGCGGCGGGCTCTGGTCGGTGCTCCGCGCTGTGCGTCCTCCTGTGCTACTCCTCCTCCTCCTCCTCCTCCTCCTCCTCCTCCGCCTCCTCCTCCTCCTCCTCCTCCTCTCCTCCTCCTCCTCCTCCTCCTCCTCCTCCTCCTCCTCCTCCTCCTCCTCCCCCTCCCTCTCCTCCTCCTCCTGCGCTGTCTCCCGGTCAAACGAACGAAGGAAATGCCATACGCCCGAGCGCGTGGGCAAAAGAGGCCAATGCCAACCAAAACTCGCCGCTCTGCGGGAGCGGCTGCACGTCGTCTGTCTCTTCATTCGCACCATGCCTTGCTTGAGAACGGGGAGGGGAGAAGAGGGGCGGAAAGTCCTGGAGGCCTCGCGCGGCAATCTGAGGCCCAAATGTACGTCGGATCCGCGTCGAATCCACTCTTTGGGTTCTCGTCGGATTACGTCGGATCTACGTCGGAGTCACGTCGGACTTACGCCGGAGCACCGCCGCGCGAGCGTCAACCTGTAACGAAGACGCCTACGGCGAATCGCCGCCGCCCCCGGCCTTGTGGAATCGGCCATGTAGCAGAACGTTGTGGCCAGAGATCTGCCAAGCTATCGGACCATGTGTTCCCCCAGCAGTTGTGGAATCTTTTGGGGGAAAACGCGGGGGAGGATGGCGGGGAAGATCAGGAGGGGGAGGAGGAGGAGGAAGAGGAGGAGGAGGAGGAGGAGGAGGAGGAGGAGGAGGAGGAGAAGAAGAAGGCATCTTGGGATCCTCTGGTGGCACTTTTGGCGCCTCCTGAGCTTCCGGGGGGCCGCTTGGAGGCATCTTGGGGGCCTCCTTGGGCATATTGAGGGCGTTTGGGGGTTTCTTGGGGGCCTCTTTGGCCGTCTCACGGCGTTCCTGTCCCGTTCAACACCGTCAGAAGCCGGTTTCGGGGCCTCTCTGAACCAACTTTGGGCCCTCTTGGGGTGCTCCACGGCCGTCTTGGATGCCATCTCGGGCGTCTTGAAGGCATCTTGGGCTGAGTCGGGGTTCTCTTGGGACCGTCTTGGGGGCCTCTTGGGCCGTTCTGGGGCCATCTTCGATGCTTCTTGGGCGATCTTGACGCGATCTTGGGGAGCTCTTGGGCAGTCGGAAGGCCGAAAATAAGCAAGTGCCAAAACGTGTTAAACAATCTGAGGAACATCAATAATGTTGGCCTCTTCGGGCCCTCCTGGAGGACCTGTTCGAGGCCGCTTCGGCCGTCTTGGAGGCCTCGTGGGGGCCTCTGGGGCCGTCTTCGAGGCTTCTTGGGCGAACTTGGAAGCATTTTGGACTATCTTGGGCCGTCTTGGAGGCCATCTTGGACCATCTTGGGCGAACTCGGGGGCCATCTTGGCCGTCTTGGAGGCCATCTTGGAGCGATCTGGAGCAGGAACAAAAACCTTGGCAACCAGACCTGAAGCAGCTGTCTGGGTGGCCGGCGCGCTGGGCCGAAGCCCCAGGGGGAGCTAAAAAGACCCAAAAACCATCAGACGTTTAGCAAACCAGGCACCCCTGTGATGAATCAACAGGGGGCGGCGGATCGAAGACGTCAACGGCGAATCGCCGCCCCACCTGCATTTTTTGGAAGCGCCCATGTGGCCGAAAGCAGGGCTCGAGCTATCGGACCATGTGTCCCCCTGGCTGTCGTTGACACCCTTCGGGGAACAGGTGAGGAAGAGGAAAGCGAGGAGAAGAAGGAAAAGGGAGTAGGAGGACGAGGAGGAGGAGGAGAAGACGGAGAAGGACGCCTCTTGGAAGCCTGTGGGGGCACTCTTGGGGTCTCCTGGGACTTCCTGGGGTCCTCTTGGAGGCCCCTTGGGGGCTTCCTTGGGCGTCTTGGGAGTCTTTGGGGGCTTGTTCAGGGCCGTTTTGGCCGTTTTAGGGTGTTCCTGGCCCGTCTGACGATGTCGGATCTGTCTCGGATGCCTCTCTGACCCGACTTGGGGCCCTCTTGGGGCGCTTCAGGACCCTCTTGGAGGCCATATCGGGCGTCTTGGAGGCCTCTTGGGCCGTCTTGACGCCCTCTTGGGGACGACTTGGAGGCTTCTTGGGCCGTTCTGGGGTCATCTTGGAGGCAGTTGGGGCCATCGTTGGGCGATCTTTGGGGCCTCTTGGGCCGTCGGAAGGCCGAAAAAAAGCAAATGCCACAATCCGAAACTACAGAAAAACAATAATGTTGGCCTCTTCGGGCCCTCTTAGAAGATCTCGTGGAGGCCTCTTGGGCCGTCTTGGAGCCTCCTGGGGGCCTCTGGGGCTGTCTTTTGTCGTCTTGGGGGCTTCTTGGGCGAACTCGGAGGCATGTTGGACTCTCTTGGGCCGTCTTGGAGGCCATCTTGGGCGAACTTGGAGACCATCTTGGCCGTCTTGGAGGCCATCAATCTGGAGCGGGAACAACCTTGGCAATCGGACTGGCAGAGGCTTCCGGGTGGCCGGCGCGCAGGGCCGAAGCCCCACTGTCGAAAAGAACAAAAACACAACGCCTCCTGAACTTTAGCACGCCAGGCACCCGTGTGATAAGTCAACAGGGGGCGGCGGATCGAAGACGCCAACGGCGAATCGCCGCCCCCCCCTGCCTTCTTGGAAGCGACTATGCGGCCGAAAGCTGGGCTCGAGCTATCGGACCATGGGTTCCCCTGGCTGCCGTTGAAACCTTTCCGGGAAACTCGTGAGGAAGAGGAAAGCGAGGAGAAGAAGGAAAAGGGAGTAGTAGGAGGACGAGGAGGAGGAGGAAGAAGAGGAGGAAGAAGAGGAGGAAGAGAAGGAGGAAGAGAAGGAGGAGAAGACGGACGAGGACGCCTCTTGCAAGCCTGTGGGGGCACTCTTGGGGTCTCCTGGGATCTTCCCGGGGGCCTCTTGGAGGCCTCTTGGGGGCCTCTTTGGGCGTCTTGGGAGTCTTTGGGGGCTTGTTTAGGGCCGCTTTGGCCGTTTTAGGGTGTTCCTGGCCCGTCTGACGATGTCGGATCTGTCTTGGATGCCTCTCTGACCCGACTTGGGGCCCTCTTGGGGCGCTTCAGGACCCTCTTGGAGGCCATCTCGGGCGTCTTGGAGGCCTCTTGGGCCGTCTTGACGCCCTCTTGGGGCCGACTTGGAGGCTTCTTGGGCCATCTTCGAGGCATTTGGGGCCATCTTGGGTGATCTTTGGAGCCTCTTGGGCCGTCGAAAGGCCGAAAAGAAGCACCTGCCACAATCCAAAACTACGGGAAAACAATAATATTGTCCTCTTCGGGCCCTCTTGGAAGATCTCGTGGAGGCCTCTTTGGCCGTCTTAAAGGCCTTTTGGGGGGGCCTCTGGGGCCGTCTTTGGCCGTCTCGGGGGCTTCTTGGGCGAACTCGGAGGCATGTTGGACTCTCTTGGGCCGTCTTGGAGGCCATCTTGAACCATCTTCGGCCAACTCGGAGGCTATCTTGGCCGTCTTGGAGGCCATATTGGGCCATCTTGGAGCCATCTGGAGCAGGAAAAAACCTTGGCAACTGGACCTGCAGCAGCTTTCCGAGTGGCCATCGCGCTGGGCCGAAGCCCCATGGGGAGTTCTTGTCGAAAAGCACCAAAACCAAGCACCTCCTGAACTTTAGCACGCCAGGCACCCTTGTGATGAATCAACAGGGGGCGGCGGATCGAAGACGCCAACGGCGAATCACCGCCCCCCCCCCCTTGCCTGTTTGGAAGAGTCTATGTGGTCGAAAGCTGGGCTCGAGCTATCGGACCGTGGGTTCCCCTGGCTGTCGTTGAAACCTCTCGATGAACACGTGAGGAAGAGGAAAATGAGGAGAAGAAAGAAAAGGGAGTAGGAGGACGAGGAGGAGGAGGAGGAGGAAGAAGAGGAGGAAGAGAAGGAGGAAGAGAAGGAGGAGAAGACGGAGGAGGACGCCTCTTGCAAGCCTGTGGGGGCACTCTTGGGGTCTCCTGGGGTCTTCCTGGGGGCCTCTTGGAGGCCTCTTGGGGGCCTCCTTGGGCGTCTTGGGAGTCTTCAGGGGCTTGTTCGGGGCCGCTTTGGCCGTTTTAGAACGTTCCTGGCCCGTCTGAGGATGTCGGATCTGTCTCGGATGCCTCTCTGACGATTGGGCCGTCTTGAGTCTTGACGCCCTCTTGGGGCCGTCTTGGAGGCTTCTTTGGCAGTTCTGGGGTCATCTTGGAGGCATTTGGAGCCATCGTGGGGCGATCTTTGGGGCCTCTTGGGCCGTCGGAAGGCCGTCGAAAGG